TGTTATCGTTCTATATTGATGCGTACACCATACCGATCATTCTGCAACCCCCGTACGGCTCCCCCGTTTCTTTCCCTCTGTTCCTTGCGCGGAGGAAACTCATACCACCATTAAGTCCAACTACACCCACTTACGTGTATATATGTGTGTGTGTAGAATCTTTTTCTCATTCCCCATAACGTGACGTAACGTAGTAGTACGCCTACTAACAAATCGTTCGACGATTCACCGTGGAAAAATCTTGTGTGACAACCCGGAAGTAGGACCAGTTACTTGGCAAAGTTCGAGACGACCGATTCGAAGCTAATTAACGAAATATCATAGCGAACACGCGAAGATAGAACGACCGAGTAACGCGATATTTTCTCTTGCAGAGCAGAACACGGCCCGGCTTCGACGACGAATTTTGGCAGCAGAGCCACCCTCCTAGCAGAGTTCCCGAAATCTCCTTCAATTACGGCCACCGGAGCGCCAAGGAGAGCGCTTGTAACTGTCGAGAGCGTTTAACAAGGGCCACGTGTGTAAGACAATTCTCGATGGTTGTTACGGTTCGGGTTGCAGCGACGTTGCAGCGAGGAACGACAAACAACAGAATTCAGACTGCCGCTGTTTCTGCCCACGCAACGGGCAACAAACGTCAGAACCATAATCCGGATGAAATTAAAGCAATGGGATTAACAGTGTCAGGGAAATATGCGAACGATGTCGCGATGACACGGTGTAACGGGGAAGAGTACGGAGCTCGATCTTTCGAACGAGGTAAAAATTCATTATCGGGACCCCGGTTCTCGGTATCAGACCTGGTTGCCGAAAATTGATGGCCGATCGTATCGAGACGTAACAGGTGTATAGAAACTTCCTTGTTCCTTTCTGGAACTTTGATGAATGTTGTACTTTGACGTACCATTCGAAACTCTTAGGACACTTATCGTTACTCGTGCCAATGTGTTTTATAATAATACGATAATATTTATATTTTACAGATTCTTCTGCTGTGTGACCAGCTCTGAAAGAAATATATACACTCCGGCTCGGAAGTTTGGAGCTCCTTTTTCTTTTTAGACGAAACGAATGTCTTCAAATATTTTTTAATAATAAATTCAACTCCTAAATACAATTAATTACAGTCACGATATACTTAAACATATTAATGTCGCAGATAAAATATTGATTTACTTGGGAAGTGATTATTTCTTTTGAAATCCTTCTAAACTTTTGACTAAGTACTTATCCTAAACAAGAAGTAAGATTTTTAAGCACGAGTGTTCATCTTATCTGAAACGATTTAAAAACGATTTCTAATTCGGACGTGAGTAAACGTACGAATCAGAGTATTTGTCGGTCGTAATTCGTAATACGCGTCTGCGAATGTAGAAAATCATAATGTACCTATCCGGTAATCGGGACGCATAAATCATCGTTGACAAGAAAATTATACCAAAATGTTAGGAGAACCGGCGAGGAGTGTTTGCGAATAGAACGACTAATCGCGTTCGTCTTTCACAGAAAGGAAACCCGCAAAGAGGGAGTCCGTGTCGCCCCCTTTGACATGAAACTTGAAAGCGACGAAACGAGAGGAAAGCAAGCAAGCAAGCGAGCAGTCGTCAAAGTGAACACACGCCAGTTGCGCGAGATCTCGCCAAAGGGTGATTAATGTACGCGGAAGAGGGAGAGGAAGAAAAAGAAGAATAAGAGGCAGATGGGCACACAAGGAGAGAAAAGAAAAAAGCACAAACGAGAGGAGGAAGACGAGGTGGATTCGGCCGCTGTCAGCCGGAACACGAGATATCGTCCCAGAAAATATTCTTTTTAATCCGGCCATAAATCCGACGTACCGAAAATTCGCCGCCGGTGGACGAGAGGTATTAAATATTAACTACGTGGCCGATTATGTAATTAAAAGGGTATTCGTAATAATTGGGAGGACGGGCTTAACGAGCTTTCTAAAATTTCCGAAGATAATTGCGCGTGCAGCGCGTGATTATCGGTGGTTCGCTAATTACGGGCTAACGCGCATCGTTTCTCTTTTCCAGCTATTACGCCCGAAGTTGCCGCGGAAACCTGGGCGCGCAGCCGATTTGCCAGAACGATTCCGCCAGGATCCAGCAACTTCCTTATCGGACTTTTCGATTTTCTCCACCTTGAAGCGCAGTCCGCGATCCGGCGACTTTGGGCCCTTGCTGTAAAAGTCTTATGTCGACATCAGAGGATGTCGAGTCGAGTATCTTATCTGCTCTTCGAAAATTTCGTGGTTTTATGATCCTATGATTATTGTAATTAGAACTGAGAGATTTTCTGGAAAAAGAATTCATAAGAGAGAAGTACATTTCTCTCTGTACAAAGTACATTTCAGTTTTAATTTGAATTAAGCTTGAATTTACTTCTTTAACTCAAAGAACTTACAGAACAATTTTCAAAACGCTTCTGAATTATCACGTTAAATCTCGTTCTTTTATGTTCGAAATTTGAAATTTTCCGTGTTTCTATACTTTTTACGTAAAGTTGTATTATATAAAATAATGATGAATATTTAATGAAAGCACAAATTTCATTAGCTGCAAGATTTTTTAACCAAACAGATAAGATACGCAAAATTTCTTTTCACTTATTGAAACCTATTAGCTGACATAGTTGACAAGTTCATCTAGATGCTCGGAATCTGTTCGAAAGGAACAGATGCTCATTTAACATTTTAGACTGTCAAATAAAAAATATATCGAACAACGTATACATACATCTCGAGACAGTTCACATATAATTATGTAATTAGATGACACACATTGGAACATTTTTTACGGTGGGATTGAGTTATAATTTGATGGCCTCTCGAAACCATTTATGCAGTCATTAAGGCATCATTAATCTTGCTCTCCGTTATGCGCGACAACGGAGTCATTGTTGGAACAGGTGCTACTTCCGAGGAGGCTTGGATCATTAGCCAAGTGAATGGAATCGGTTCACCGCGGAATAAAAGAATCAACGCCAAAAATCACAGCGGAGAAACGGAAAAGAACCGTGAACGTTTTTGGTGACGGCAATTAGCGAAATTGTACTTGAACGAGCGAGGTCTTGTCTAATTTCAACGAAGAAAAATTGGAAAACAACTGGTAGTTCCTACTTTGATGTAAGATAAAACAACATTTGCGTCTTTACAGGTAGCGTAGTAATTAGAAATTGGATTGTACGTACAATTCATCTATTAATCTAATTTACAAGAATATAAGAGAAATCTAAGTAATTTGTCAAGCATACATAATACATTGTATAACTTTTACATTCTAACTCTGTTACTACTTAAAAAGAAATTTTTATGTAACGGGCAGGAATATGAAATAAAATGTGTTAATAATGATTTCTCTTCATTTTATCTTCAAATTTAAGAAATCTTTTAACGATAGGAAAACATGACTGGCTCGAAAATGATTATGTAGAAAACATAGCGTGTGGTGCAAAGCAATTATTAACATTATTTATAACAGTCGATAACGTTACATATTTACTGATGGTTCCTTTCGAGCAAACATCACGTTTTGTTAATTCTCAATAGAACTTGCCGACTTCTAATGAAAATTATTCCTGAAAGTAAGCGATCGTTACAACGCTAATATTTATTTCTTATTGAAAGTTATGTTTTTGTAAATATTTAATACTAAAAATATAGGTATAATCTTAAGTGTAAAAGCATAAATTATTTTCTAAATTGTTCATTACGATTTCATCACACGGTCAAAATGTTAACCGTACAAGCTTTGAAAAATCACCGAATAAATTCAATATTCAAAAGTCTCGCCGATGCTACGTTTCTAGATTATTTGACCTAACAAAGAAATACTGACCTAGCTCAACAGCTCTA